CCCCAAATCAGCCCCAAATCCGCCCCAAACCCGCCCCAAATCAGCCCCAAAAGGGGACGGGGTTATAGGGGATAATGGGGGATTGGGGTATGGGAAGGGAACACCAGGAATGGGGCGAGGAGCAAAGGGGTTGGTGTCACCTGGAAACATCAGCCAGGGCATCAATAATAAATAAATAAATTTACTTATTAATAAGTGTATTAATTGGGGAATGTGTTAATTAATAAAGATATTAAATGATATCTTTGTGGGATCCAAGGTGGGGAAGGAACACCAGGAATGGGGTGAGGGGCAAAGGGGGAACAGGGTTGGTGTCACCTGGAAACATCAGCCAGGGCATCAGAAAAGGTGATTAAATAATAAATAAATTAATTAATGCATTGATTAGTTAATGTATTAATTGGGGATTGTGTTAATTAATTAAGAGAATAAATTATAAAGATATTAAATTATATTTTTGTGGGACTGGGGTATGGGAAAGGAACAGTGGGAATGGGGTGAGGAGCAAAGGGGGGACGGGGTTGGTGTCACCTGGAGCCATCAGCCAGGGCATCAGAAAAGGTGATTAAATAATAAATAAATTTAAAAATGCATTAATTAATTAATGTATTAATTGGGGAATGTGTTAATAAATAAAGAGAATAAATTATAAAGGTATTAAATGATATCTTTGTGGGATCCAAGGTGGGGAAGGGAACAGTGGGAATGGGGCGAGGAGCAAAGGGAGGACAGGGTTGGTGTCACCTGGAAACGTCACCCAGGGCATGAATAATAAATATATAAATTTATTTATTAGTTAGTAAGTGTATTAATTGGGGAATGTGTTAATTAATTAAGAGAATAAATGATAAAGATATTAAATGATATCTTTGTGGGACTGGGGTATGGGAAGGGAACAGCGGGAATGGGGCGAGGAGCAAATGGGGGACAGGGTTGGTGTCACCTGGAAACATCAGCCAGGGCATCAATAATAAAGAAATAAATTTACTTATTAATAAGTGTATTAATTAGGGAATGTGTTAGTTAATAAAGATATTAAATGATATTTTTGTGGGATTGGGGTATGGGAAGGGAACACCAGGAATGGGGCGAGGAGCAAAGGGGGGACGGGGTTGGTGTCACCTGGAAACATCAGCCAGGGCATCAATAATAAATAAATAAATGTATGTATTCATTAGCAAGTGTATTAATTGGGGAACTGGTAATTAATAAAGAGAATAAATTATAAAGATATTAAATTATATCTTTGTGGGATTGGGGTATGGGAAAGGAACAGCGGGAATGGGGTGAGGGGCAAAGGGGGGACAGGGTTGGTGTCACCTGGAAACATCACCCAGGGCATCAGAAAAGGTGATTAAATAATAAATAAATTAATTCATGCATTGATTAATCAATGTATTAATTGGGGATTGTGTTAATTAATTAAGAGAATGAATTATAAAGATATTAAATGGTATCTTTGTGGGATCCAAGGTGGGGAAGGAACACCAGGAATGGGGTGAGGGGCAAAGGGAGGACAGGGTTGGTGTCACCTGGAAACATCACCCAGGGCATCAATAATAAAGAAATAAATTTATGTATTAGTTAGTAAGTGTATTAATTGGGAAATGTGTTAATTAATAAAAAGAATAAATTATAAAGATATTAAATGATATCTTTGTGGGATTGGGGTATGGGAAAGGAACAGCGGGAATGGGGCGAGGAGCAAAGGGGGGACGGGGTTGGTGTCACCTGGAAACATCAGCCAGGGCATCAATAATAAATAAATAAATTTACTTATTAATAAGTGTATTAATTGGGGAATGTATTAATTAATAAAGAGAATAAATTATAAAGATATTAAATTATATCTTTGTGGGATTGGGGTATGGGAAGGGAACAGAGGGAATGGGGCGAGGAGCAAAGGGGGGACGGGGTTGGTGTCACCTGGAAACATCACCCAGGGCATCAGAAAAGGTGATTAAATAATAAATAAATTAATAAATAAATTAATTAATCAATG